GTCTCTGGCCAGTACTGCTGACATTTTTTCTACAATACAACAATAATGCATAATTATGTATACAGTCAATTACTATAATGCATTACTTTTCCTGCCTCTATGATGCCAGTCAGCATAACAATATGGTTGAGTTTGTGTTCCCAGATCATGTGCCAGAAGTCATCAACTGTTCTACGTAAAGGACCTATGAATGAATGCAAGATGGAGGAATAAAGCAAAGAGCTATATAGGTTATTACCTTGTGCAGCAATGTAGCAGTTTTTTCTTGCATATCCCTATTGGTAAAATATGATTGGTTTAGAGTCAATATTACATTTTTATAATGGTATACTTACATCAACAAAGCAAGCATTAATATAATCAGAGTCTCTTTTAGTAGTAAGAGCCACTCGTGTTGCATCATCTGTTATGAGAGTGAAAATTATGTAAGTTATTGAAGTACTCCTTACATGGGAATATATTGAGGAACCTGTTCTTTGGAATATTAGCTTCTGAGCTACCGGCAGTGTAAGGAGCTCCAGAAGTCATAGAGATAGACTATACATGAAGTATTAATGAATAAAACATATTTTAAAGAGGTTCATACCTTGAATTCATTATCAAATTCCTGGTCACTATTACTATGCATCTCCAGTACATGAGAATGAAACACTGAGACATGTATGGGCTTGAATTCATTGTGATCCCCTGTAGTATATGGCAATAGTATAACAAAAGTAGAGTATCACAACCAAATAATATCTTACCAATATTCACATACACAGGTTCTTCTGCTATCTCTTGCTCTTCATCCTCATCATCAAGTATATCATCATTCAAATGCACTGGCTGGGCATTAAGTGCTTGTCTTATTGATACCTCAGTTTCCAATAGTACACCAATCATCTCTTCATCAGTTAAATGCTCTGATCTTCCTGCATCTGTTAGCTCATCATATCTCGGTGGAGGGGCAGTGAGTTCATATGATTCGTTGTTAGCTGTGATTATTGGGTCATTTGTTGTAGATAAGGTCAGTTTCCCTGTGGTGTGTCTCCTCTTATGTCTATAAATACAGTAAATGTAGCATTTTAAAATTCTATTACTATTACTACTTGTACAAAAAATAATTTGACTCAAGCTTTTTGTGTAATATAAGAACTATTAGAAAAAATTATAAAAATAAAAAATTCTCTCCTTTTTAATTTTTGCAAAATTTGACCAAAATTGCTAACAGGGTCTTTTACCCAATTCTGAAGCAACTTTAAAATTCATAAAAATTCCAAATTTTGATCCAAATCAGTTTAAATTTTGCACGCAACATAAGAACATGTATATCAGGAAAAATTCTTTTCTTTTCAATTCTGGTGAAATTTGGCCAAAAACCTGTACTATTCCCAGTATAGCAAGGCTGCAAAAGTCGTGGCAGCCATTTTGAGTGGGATGAATCCTACTTAGTAATGCTACTGCGTTACTAATAGTATAAAATTTCTACTAGATTTTGAAGCAACTTAAAAAAATTTTTTTTAATTTAATTTTGATCAGAATCAGCTCAAACTTTCTGCACAACACAAGAACATGTATGTGTATGAAAAAAGTTTTTGAAATGAAGAATTCTCTCTTTTTCAGTTTTGGCAAAATTAGACAAAAACATGTACATGTGTATACCGGCATGTATTAGGAAAAATTATAAAATTGAATAATATTCTTCTTCTCAATTTTTTTAAAATTCTGCCAAAATCCCTATACTATAGTACAGGAACTTTATAAAAAATCCAATTGTAATTGAAATCAGCTCAAATTTTCTATGCAACATAAGTATGTTAAAAAATTTTAAAAGTTAAAAATTTTTTGTTCTTTTTAATTTTGACAAAATTTGGCTCAAGACACAATTGGTTCTTTCACTTCTTTGGCCCATTTTTAAGCAACTTTAAAAATTCTATTGTGATTAGAATCAGCTAAACTTTCTTTACAACATAAGAACTTGTACAGAAAAATTTTTAAATACTGGGTGGTTTTTTGAAATTAATATATTTTGCAATGCTAAAAAATTATAATATGATAATCACTTATTACTTACATAACTGTACCAAAAAGTACTATGATAATCAAGATGATAAACACTACTAATATCCCACCAATGGCTGCTCCAATTATATAAGGGCCTAAATACAAAAAAGAACAAGACAATAAGATTAAATGAAGCTATATACAATTACTATTTTTAGCTTCTTCAAATAGTGTAGGAGTAAGAGTAGGTGAACTAGTAACACTAGTAGTACTGAGGATAGTCTGCATAGAGCTGGTACTTGATGACGCTGTATTAAGCATAGTCTGTATAGAGCTGGTGCTTGATGACACTGCATTAACTGGTGTCACTGGATTACTAGCAGGGCCAGTAATCTCACTCCCATCCTGACTATACGTAATATAAGAGACTGTTATCTGGTACGTAAGATTAGGATTAACTCCAGTTAATGACACTGATGTGGTATTGTAAGGTACTATCATCTCAATGGGGCTGCCTGACTGTCTCTTTCGAGTTGAAGTGGTTGTGGCGGTCACTTTGTAAGCAAAGAATGCACCAACTCCATCAAATGTTTTACTATCCCAGTTAACAGTGATAGTGGTTTTATCATGCGATAAAATAGCCTCTACTCTTTCGGGAGACAGAGAAAGAGCATCTGGCATGTTAGAAAAAAATAAGCAAATGCATATAGATAAGCTAGCATACCTGGTTTGCTGAATGCTGAAACACTTGCTGATTCTCCTCCTCCTAAATCATTGAATGCTCTTATAGTAAAATTATACAACTCTCCAATGTCTGTAAAAAAATAAATTGATTAATCAAACTCAGTTTTATATTTACTTAATTCAGTGATAGTGTATGAATAAACTGATTCCACACTCATCATAGGTATCCAGTATGATCTTCCATTATTATCATTTGTGACATTATAACCAGTGATTCGCCCATTGGGGTATAGTGGAGGTCTCCATGTTATATTAACAGCTGTATCATTGATGCTTGGCACTGACTTTGTAATATATACACCAGATATAATCACAGGTATTGTTACTAGTAATACAGGGGACGATACTAAAAATAGAATGATATTTTAAAAACCATCAGTCAATAATACTGACCATCTGGTAATGTCCTTCCTTCAGTAGTAGTCACTGGTCCAGTTCCAATGATTGTACTAGCACTGACGCTAGCAGTGTAATTCTGATATGGACTGAAGCCAGTAATGAGACTCTCAATAATGTCACTACTATCGGTAACATTAATGATAGAGACTGTAGTATTTGCTCTATCCAGATTAGTAACAGTTAAATTATAATGAATAATAACACCATTGGGAAGTTCAGGTGCCATCCAATGAAAAAATATAAAAGTTTTATTGGGGGTTGAAATGAAATTCCGTGGACCATCAAAAGGTACTGTAAATAAATAAAAGAAAGAAAATTGTGCTGTCATTGCATTAATGGCAACTTACTATCTTGTCCAGTAGTAAAGGAGCATGTTGTAGCAGGCCCACCACCTACCTTATTAACAGCTGATACATTACAAGTATAAGTGGTATAGGGATCAAGGTCAGAGATAAACAATTCTGTATCCACTGTATCAAAGGAATTATTACCAACAAAAGAGCATGAAACATTGTAGCTCATTATTCGACCATTTTGCAATAGTTTATCAGGAGGGCTCCAGTAAAGATCAACAGCATCAGATTCTATATTGCTAACAGTACAATTTAGAGGAGCACCCGTAGGTACTATTATTGAAATTAAAAAAATAAAATTATTATTTTTATACTTACAATTTGGTGATGTAGTGAAGTTATTAAATGAAGTATTAGTTGACCCGATACAATTAGTAGAGACTATAGTAAATGAGTAATCATTAGCCTCTTCTAGACCAGTGAGCACAATTTGATGAGCAACATTAACATCATTGATATTAGAACTATAAAGCATTGAAGAATTAGCAAGTGTATTCTGTAAAGGCATTCCTGTGTAGCTAATGTGATAAGTTTCTGGTGTGTAGATTATTGATGGGACAGTAAAGCTAATAATGGCAGTTGTGTCGGTTTTCGATACGTTAACAACTTGCACTGCAATGGGTGGTCTAGCAGCTAAAAGAAAAAAAGAAAAGTAATAATTAAGAACATTACAACTAGAAAATTTGGTGGAGTAAAATTAATTGAGCCAAGTTGGTATCTCAAGGGTCTATTTAACCTCAGCTGATTTCTACAGCAAAATTGATGATAATTGCTACAGATACACAGTCAAAAATTTAGCATTTGAAAAGCAATCAAATTTATACATACTATTTATTTTAGGTACTTACATTTAATAGTCACAATGCTGTCGTCATACTCACTGATAACATTAGATGGTACATTCAAAGTAGCATTACATCTGTAATATCCAGCATCATTAATACTGGTATTTGATACAGTCAACGTATTAGTTTTGATATTATTAGAACTTCCAGTAGTTGCAATTATTCCATCTCTCCCTGCTCCATTATGAGTCCACACTAGCATCAATTCTGATAGCACAATGGCTGGTTTAGTAGCAGTGCAAGTCAGTGTGAAGTTATCATATGGATCTGATTCAGGGCATGATGTTTCAAGACCCAGAAAAGAATTGGGGAAAAGATCAAAATTGCTAATGACTGGATCTTTAAAAAGATAAGTAATTGTTAAAGGCTATACATGTACAATGTTTAACTTACCTGTTACATTAAGATAAATTGTACTGCTTACATTAGAGGAATTAGTCACAAAATTTGAGACAGGAATGAAATCTACTTTACATTGATAATATCCAGTATCATTTGCACTGAGTAATGTAAAGTAAACTACAGACTGGAGTGAACTAGAGTTATCAATGATGACTCTCTCATTAGCACTGAATAAATTACTGCCTCGTGTCCATACTGTCATTATGGTGACTGGTGTATCAATTCTGGGATCTAATGAAAAACTGCATGTCAAGTTGAGGCTGCTACCAGCTAAGAGATCAGTTACTCTTGAAAAACTAAGATTGACAGTAGGTGTAGGTACTACAAATACAATGAAATTATTAAAGAATAAATTGTGATACACTAACGTTTTAATGTTATTGTGTGACTATCAATGCGTTGGGTTTCAATCGCAATATCTGTCAGTGATACAGTAGCTGTGCATGTGTATTGTCCAGCATCAGAAGTGTTCAATGATTTAATGTAATGTATTGAAGTAGTTTCACCATTACTCAGTGATGGTAGTGTATCATTAGGTGGCGTCTTGCTCCACTGTATTATAGTACTGGGTATCAGTAAGTCCAATACACTCACAATGCAAGTCATATTGTAGCTTTCTCCAATACTTTGTGTTCCATTAGCAACAATAATGACATTTGGTGGAAGCAAAACTATATAATGTATAAACATAAACACATAAGCCATCATTTATTATTGTGATTATAGAGGCATTTATCATTCAATATTGTACTGTAGATCAGGAAATTTTCGTTGTTAAAATATTTTCGTGATTGAAGTGACCCACGAAATTTTGACATACGAAAAATTTTCTACAACAAATAATTAGATTACCAGAATTAGTCTATTCTAATGTGCAGTAGTGAGTAGTACACGGCTGGCACAAGGCTCTTCTTAAAGCCCAAGAAGGCCTGAAGCTCTCACCCAAGAGGCTCCTTGTCAGTTTCAGTGCTGTCACGAGAAACTTCAATCAAATAGCTGTCCACCATTGTCAAGAGTTAGCAGTCACATGTCCCATTTATGACACACCTAAAACTTTTTGTGTTAAAAAAATTTCCAGATGGGTCAACCAACGAAAATAAAAGATCTTGAAAATTTTTCATACCAATTATAATTAACACGAAAATTTCCCGATCTACAGTATGTACCTGGTTGTACTAATTCTGATAATTGTCCTTCAAAATCTCCTATAGTCACAGATATTCTAAACCCATACTCTGTACTGCTACCAGTGAGCCCTGTTACTACTGCATGGGTTGAAGTGTTTGATACATTGACAGAAAAGACGTCATCAGTAGACTTATTGTAATAGAGGGTATAGTATGATATTGGTGAGATGTCTGGCAACACCCATGAAACATGAACTGAGCTAGCATTAAGAGGAATCACCATTAAACCTTGTACTGATGGAACTATGAGAAAAATAAATTAAAAGATAATAGTCGTAAAGAATGAACAAGAGCTAGTATTTTTTACTTAAAGATAATTCAGCAATTACTTCTGCCCATTCTCCTGGTCCAATACTAGTATATGCTCTCACTCCAATAGTATAACTCGTATTAGGTATCAATCCTGCTATACTGTAATAAGTATTAGTAGTGTTAGTTACATTGTATGGACCAGTACTGGTAGACTCTCCATATCTTATCTCATATACTGTAATGATACCATTAGGTATTGTAGGAGGATTCCATACCATGGACAACAAATATGGACTAAAGTCATTCATCATTAGACCATTAATGGCACTAGGTGCTATATAAAGTAAAACAAATAAATTCATAACTTAATGAATCTGTTTACTTGATTCCAGTGTTTGTTGTGTGACATTATCACTGGGTGGTCCCATTCCAACAGCATTATATGGCACTATACTCATAGTATAGTTAGTGTATGGTGACAAATCTCTGAAAATATGTGTTCTTTTGTCTCCTTCAGTGATATTAACAATGTTTGAATTGTATGTGAGGTAGTATCCAGTGATTGGTCCATTCCTTCCATCACAAGGTACTTCACTCCATGAGACATTCATTGACACTGAACTCACTGATGCAAACATAATGTTACTCACTGATGTACTAGGCACTAATTAAATAGAGAATATGTAACAAAGATAAACATAAAATAATTTTTTTACCAGTTGAAAGAGTTTGAACTGATGCATTTGTTAATGTGTAGTTCCCTTCATCATATAGACCAATTAAATCAATAGCACAGTTACTGTATGGAGAAATATTATTAAATACATAGGGTGATGAAACAAATGCTTGAGTAGCAGCAATAGAAGATGACAGTTCACAAAGTCGATGACACTCAAACTGAATATTAAAATTGTTTGGTGGGAAAATATCAGCAGGTGGACTCCATGACAAACTAAATGATGTGCTGGTAATATCAATAGCCATCAGATCAGTAACCTCAGGATTATCTGGAAAATGGAACAATGCAGATTAACTGAAAATTGCTAGCTTACCAAGTAATATTATTGCCGATGAATTCTCACTAGGTAGAAAAGCATCAGTATCAACATAAGAAACCACATAAAAAGTATAAATATTTCCAAGCATCAAGATAGTTGTTATATCAAATGATGTATTGGTAGTAGTGTCTATACTATTGGAATCATTGTTAGAGAGTTGATAGAAGACCTCATAACCAGTAGCTCCTGATACAGTAGACCAGGAAAGTCTTACATGAGTTAGACCAGTATTTAATCTTGTAGCAGTTAAACCAGTTGGATCAGATACTGTAAAAGAGTCAAGTTATAATAGAAAACTGTTGTATACTAACCTGATATATTTAGTGAGGTGGTGCCATTGTTAGCAATAAAACCATTAATGCTACCATTAGTAACTCTGTAATTGGACACAATACACTGGTAGTTACCAGCTTCTCTCAGTCTCACTGTTACTGTTACACCAGTAATGGAAATTGGTCCATTTACTATCATACGAGACAGTTCAGTAGATATTCCATTCCCATTCAGTGAACAACTGACAGTAGTAGGAGGACCATCAGAGACATTGAAACTGAGACTGAAGACTGGAGGAGTAGCTAATCTACTAGTGGAGAGGAGAGAGAACTGCATGGGAAAGCTTGCATCGGGACCATCTGTAATAATATAAGGCACATCCATTGCTTTATTAAATTTTGACATGGTATGACTAACCATTAGTATTGTATTCAGTGTCAGTATATGCTCCAACCACTAGTGTTTGATCGACTTCATTCTCATCAGGAATGATACACTTGTATAAACCTTGATTAGTAGCTAATCCTCTATTAATTACTAGTGCAATCTGACCAGAAAACCTCTTACTGAAAACAGCATCAGAAATTGACATACTATTTAGTTTCTTATTAGAGCTTATTACAGGAACTGGACTAGTTCCATCAGGAAAATACCACGTTCCAATATCAGAACGAGAATTAGCACTTTGGCACCACAAAGCATCATTAATGCCATCTCCATTGGTATCGTCGTTAAAAAACAGGTCGCCTCTTACAGTAGAGTAATCAGGCAGTGTTCTGTTCTCATATGGTAAATAAAGCTGTACACCTTTTGGTTAGATTATAATGAACCAGTTGCGTATGCAATAATTGCTTACCATTACTAGGAAGATTAGTAGGTGGACCTCCCTGCGCATCTAATTCTTGAGCAAGCAAAGCAGAGACAAGGAACAAGAGCAACATCTCCATTACTCTCAAAATCAGGGCGTGGCTGATCTAGAAATAGAATTCATCATAGATATTAGCGTATTAGAATTCATGGGTTTTTAATTTGCATAAAAATTCGTTTCTAATGATAACTGAAATTTAAAAATAAATATAAAATCTATAAAGATTAGATCTATAATGGAAATGAGTTTATTGAAGGAAGCGGCTGAGCTTCATTCCTAAAAATAAAAACAATTTTAATTTTAAAGATATTATCTGCATTGCCGTTGACTGACTTTGAATTGCTGCTATTCAAACAGTCCAAGAGTGTAGTCTGAGAGAAGAATGCGTTAAGATAACATGAGGTCTTCTTATCAACCTCTTCCTCAATTAGCATTCCCTCACTGATGCAGGCACACTGTAATGCATTCATTAACTGAGTAATGGACAATGAGAGATGGGAAGGAAAAGAGAACTGACCACCATTTAACCTATTACGGCATAAGTAGAAAAAATATACATATACATGTACAATAATCAAAAACATTTGAATAGTTGAATCAACATTATCATGATAAAACTGTACATAGCTTCAATTTCCTCTACTGCTTTGTACCTACTACTGCCACGTACAGCAGGAAATTTAGAAGGGGTTTTTGCAAACTGCTAAATTTTGGTGATCTGTAAGTTTTAATAGTGGCCACATACACTGTACCATTGAGCATATGCATAATGGCTCAAACTGGCAAATTTTTGTTTTGGACAATGTTATCAAGGCACCAAATTTAGCTCCCTTGAATATTCCTGCTGTGGTATCTCTAAGCTGCTCAATGAAGTGAATCTAAATCTTGCAATGCATACATTATTAACCTGTTAATGTTGCTCTTTTTAAGGAAAGAATAAATATCAGTTGAATTCATCAGTGGAGTGTAATGGTGCCACGTGAATAGAGTAGGGAAATTGAGATTGATTGGTTGTGCAAGTGATTCTCTTTGTGAGACAGTCATTGTACCAATCACCATCACTGTAGAACCTAAGAAAACATTAATGATAAAAGCATTGTAAGCTTGAAACTGAAGCAAGATACCATTTATGTTGCTACCAATTCAGTAATTCTAACAAACATTGTATTCAGTAAACTTTCAATATGCAAGTACATGTAAGTATTGTACATGTATAATTATACACTACACATGTACATATAATTATATACTACACATCTATTTATGCTAACCTGATGACATAGACATAGAATAAGAGAGAAGAGTTGATAGTGCATGCATCAATGAATGAGAGACTGAGACACGATCACCAACTTGCACATACTCAACCAAACGATGAACATCATCAAGGACAATAAGAGAATGACTTGAACTACAAGAGTATATTATAATAATAGGCTGTATAAAGATTTCAATTATTATAATATACCTAAATGCATCTTTGAAAACTTGATGGATGTACTCAATCTTTCCAAAATCAGTCAAACCAATCATGTTGGAGGCTGTTACTACCTTTTATAACATAAAATATAACACAGATGCTCAATTAATTAATACACAATTAAGCTGTATACATTGTACATGTACATGTACATGTACCTTGATATATGTGAAGTGGCCCAATACAGCAACTCTGGCTGCTAATGTAGTCTTCCCTGTTCCTACAATACATTTCATTATACATGTACTAATGAAAATAAGAATAACGAAATAAGAAAATAACGAAAATAAGAAGTGACGATTACGAAAGGGACATGTACATGTATGTGACATTGTTATGCTCTCAATTGTTAAAGTGATGGCTCTTGTTGTATAGGATGTTGTGATAACTTGTTAATCATAACTTCAGTTTAGTTATTGCAGAGAGCATAAGAGATTTTCTATCAATGCACACATTATAATCATATACTGTATAAGATGATTTGTTGGCAGGAGTTTTCTTTGGCGGTTTTGTGATGGCTAGCTTATTGGCGGATTTAATATTGGTGGTTTCTAACAATTTAATTTATATCCCCACCCTTAGGCGGGGTTTTACTTAAGCGGTTGTGGTTCGTGGAGAACATTATTATCAGAGAAAGACTGTACCTTTTCTGGAAGATTGTATTCTTTATCACCTGGTTTAGAGACTGGCTTAAAGAAACATAGTAGAGCCATGTTAGCTAGCTGCTTTTAACTAAAATTATTAAATTAATGTGGGTGTGGTCACACGCATGAATGGAATTATTCCTTGCAGATTTTATTTTGGCGTTTTTATATAAATCCATCAATCCGCCAATATTAAATCCCCGTCAAAATTTCATCTTATATGGTAGCAGATAATTTTAGAGGGGATAAATTTTAGCTAATTCAGCATTTTTTTAGCCATTCACCAAAGTAAAACCCACCATTTTGAGCCATTATGGACATGCTCATGGCACATGACCACAAATTTGTCAAATTAAAACTCACCAATCACCAAAATTTCAGCGATTTGCCAAAATTTTTCCCTTCAAAATTACCCGTTATACGGTAGTTGTACTCATTTTTATAAAATAGTAATCTTGAATCACATGCTAAAGAATCTTACGTTTAGTTAGCAAATTTTAAAGGAGCAGTAATAATAGTACTTTAGGGTGGGTATTAATTGCGACCATAGATGTATGTAGTATCTATGTTGCGACACTTCATTTTAGCGTCAACCAGCCGCTAATAATAGTTATTATGTACTTGTGTAAACAAGTACACAAGAGAGGCAAGATCTGTAGCAAGATAACAGTAGATAGGCTGATCCTATTAAATGTATAGATTGGGCTTCTTGAGTAGTGTTATGCTTTTAAATGGGAGTTTCATCATTGGTTTTCTTCCTATTTTCGCTAATATTACATTTCGCTAAATCAGGGTCCCCTTAAAAACGTTAAAATTTAAGAGCACAATTAATACCCACCCTAAGGTAATTTCTTTAGATGGCTGTTCTTAAAATTAGCTTACCTTTTGGGCCATATATCAGAGATGTTATCATCTTTGATGGAGCAGCAGTTTGCGACTGTATTGATGAACTAAGCTCCAACAATGAAGTGATGATGGACTCATGATCAGTAGTCAATGAAAAATAGTTAGTAGGAAGATATTGTGATACAATACGTGACTATAAAGAGAAGGAGAAGGAGGAACAGTAAAAGAAGAATAAATTCTTAAAAGAAAAGGATAGTGTAGATTAGATTATAATATCAAGTCTCTAACCTCTGATTGTGTATAAGCTGGTGATATTGATATTAACGAATCCACAAAATCCTTTCTAGTCACTATCATTGGTTCCTTAGCATCAGCATACTATATGTATAAAACAATATTGCCATTACAAATGTACATGTACTTTATTCTATTAATAATTACTCACTTTTCTCTCTAGAGCATAAGAAGCTGCTCCTCTCACTACACCAGCTATTTCAGCTCCACTGAATCTTGTAGTATTAGCAGCTAGCTCTTTAAGATTGACATCGGTTGATAGTATACCACTCTCCCTCATTTCTCTAGTGTGTATACTAAATATCTCCTCTCTAACGTAATGTATGGATAGTGGATACAAATGATAGAATGACAAGTATTAACTCATGTATACAAATCTAGAGTATGTATGTGTACCTTCCTTCTTCATCAGGCAGACCCACTTCTATTTGAACTTCAAATCTACGTAATAAAAACATGTAAGATTCTTTGGTTGCATATAATAAATTCACATTATACATGTACATGTAACGTATTTCCTTAAATAAAAGCCCAGGTGTCTATTTCCTCAAATGGTATTTGGGCCTCGAAAAAAATTTTTAAAAATAAAAAAACTTAAGCCCAGAGCGGGATCTGAACTTGGAACCTTAAGGCCCCCATACACTAGCCAACATGTTGCTAGCAACATTTGTGGTTACTTTGATCTTATAAGCAACATGTTGCTAAAAATAGAAATCAGTTCTATTTTTGCAACAAGTTACTCAAAAGATCAAAGAAACCACAAATGTTGCTAGCAACAAGTTGCCTAGTGTATGGAGGCCTTTATGCACTTGACTTCAGGAATTTAAGGAAGGCATCTAATTTATTTCTAGGTTAGATTTGCATATTTATACTTTCATTCTATTGCTACCCCGGTGTTTTTTTGCATCCAGCTTTCATTTAAGGATATACAGTACATGCCTAAATCTTAGAGCTACAAAATTAAATGTTGCCCATTACCTTCCAGGCCTTAGTAGTGCTGGATCCATCAGCTCCTTCCTATTCGTCATACCAATAACAAGAACATTACTAGATTGACTGGTAAAAAAGAAAAGAAAGACAGAGAATATAATTTTGGCTTCCAACATTAAAAATTAACTTGATAGTGCTAATTACAAGTAGAAATTAAGCACAAAGTACCATATAGCGGGAAATTTTGGAGGGGGTTAAATTTGGCAAATTCGGCGTTTTGACAACCATTTACCAAAATAAAAATCCACCATTTTGAGCCATTATACACATGCTCAATGGCACGTTGCCACAAATTCACCAAATTAAAATCTGCTAATCACAAAAATTTAGAAATTTGCCAAATTTTAGCCCCTCTAAATTTCCCGCTATACGGTACATACAATGTAGTCACCTCAGTCCATCCAGTAATGTTAATAATTGATTCACTACACTGTCGTAAGCAGCTCCAGCAGAAGACTGATCAATCTTACCTAAAAACGATAAAAATATGATATTACTCATTCTGATACATACATGTACATGTACAGTGCATGAATGCCATTATGCTCTGTGAAAAAAGCTTGAGTTGATTTTTAATTGCAATTTTAGAGTTATTAAAAGGGTATTGCATACTATTGCTGGTACATGTACATGTATGTGTTGAATACCTCTTGGTTTACAGATTGCCTCAATCTCATCAATAATTATAACATACAGTTCACTAGCATCACCATGAGTCTTATATGCATCAGCAGCTTCTTGAAAATAATATCTAACAACACAGTAATTATACCTTGTAGTAACATCATACATGCATGAATCTACTATGTCCCAACTGAGAATGGACCGGAAGTGGAAGCAGCTGCATTGGAATTTGAAAAATGTAGCTACGTCACTAATGACGTGTTATAATGATATTCATAGAGACATGGCCGATATTTCGGCTGTGTTGTTTCACTCTTAAAACAGTCTTGTTCTTTCTGATAAGCAGTACAATAGCTGCTGGAGTCAACTAGTCTTCATAAAGGCCATCATTATCAGAAGATCTTGCTCTATTAGCATTTTAAAAGAAGAGTTATCAGTTTGGGCGCTCGACCACATGTGCTTATGTAAACTATGACATCATAGAACATCATTGCGGTTAGCTTTGGGATGCCATTGGGTTTGTAGGGAGAACTCGGTTCTCAGGGTTCCCAAGGGCTGAGAGACCCAAGACCTGAGATCCTGAAGCGGCATTGGGCGACTAAAAACCTGTGAAAGTCTCATTCTTATCCCACTTCTTATAAAAAGTTATTCCAGTTTTTCTTGGTCCAAACTCAGTTGGGACATAGTATAATAGCATTTCATGTATAAAATTTAAATTAAACATATATGTATAAAATATATGTAGTACAGTACCAAGAGTACATAAACATACATGTACGTGTACCTTAGATTTCTTTCACTCTCTCCTAAAAATTTACTCACAATTTCAGGACCATTGATCAACTGAACCTTTTGCAAAGAGACAGATTAGCATTAGTTAACAAAATAATGTACAATGACTACATGTATTGTTCAATTCAGTAGTTTTACCTGTTTTGATCCTAATAAATGAGCCACTGTTCTTGCTAGTAGCGTCTTACCAGCACCAGGTGGACCATATAATAAGATACCCTGAGGTAGAGAAGAAAGAGAAAGACTGAAGCACAATAAAACAATAATACTACCTTTATATGTGTAATACCTAACTGAGCCAATAAATCAGGTGACACATCTAAAAAATAAATAGCAATAATTATAAATATTCATGCAGCAATACATGTACATTTATAATTACTGTACAGCAATTAAATGCAACAATTAAACTGTGCATGTAAATCGTACCTCTTGAGGCAAAAGCTCTTCTATACAGTTCCTCTATCTCTTTCTTCAGTCCACCCACACCAAGCTCAACAAATCTACTAAACTTGTCCTTAAAATTAACGGCTTCTCGATAAGACACGCCCCCAGACAAAACAGCAACAATACCAGATGAACCTCCACAATAACGAGATGAGCTTCTTTGACAATCCTTCACCGCCAACTTGACATCAAGTCCTTCTCCTCTCCCTCCAGCCAGGCTACAATTAATAACATAAGGAGACACTAGTATAGGGTCAGTGCAATGAGTGGTATCACCAATAAGAATATTATAAGTAGATTTTAAGTGATGAGTACAGTCTGAGAGAGTTTGGGGTGTCAATTGAAGTCTATCTGTGTTAATGGTAGCCGATTGTTGAGCTGATATTGTGCTGTATTGTGGGCAGAGAGTGTGAAATCCAAGTCCAATTAAGGAGAGGGTCTGTCCACCATTGTAATGACAATTGGAGGTGGTTTTTGTGGGAGAAGAGTTTATACAGCCTGATACTGTGAGGGTGAAGAGAGACAAAGAAAAAGAGAATATGAAAAAAGGAAAAGAGTTTTAAAAACATAAGAGTAAGAGCCCTGGTTAAAAATGTAGTTACTGCAACATCTTTGTATTTTTCATTTTTTGAAAAAATAGCATAGGCTATACTAGTTTTAGAAAATGGCATAATAGTACTACAATCACTATACCAGCTTCAATGATGATATTGCTATCCTTCAGGAATACAGGACAGCCATATTGACTTGGAGGAAAATCAACAAAATAATTACAAATCAACTTCTTATCTCCTTCATATGCTTTGAGTGGAGCAAAATCAGATGGTGAGACCTCCTTATTTGGATCACACGGAAACATTAAAACTGTTCGACGAGGCTTGTTAGTCACTTCACAAGTTGCTCCATTGTCAAGGATTAATTGGAAGCCACTGCTAGCCATACCAACCTCTAGTGACTGTACACTGATAGTTTTACCTGCAGATACATTAAAATAATAAATAAAACAATTGAATAATTAATTCATTAATACGTAAATTAATTTGACAGTAAATAATACATCATTAAAATTTATAACACTGTATCCCCTAATTGTTCAAATAAAAGCCTGACTCAAATATTTATTTATTTTTTGTCTGGTCTGGGTGTCAGCAATTTTGTTGGCATTCCATCAGGTTGGCTTTGGCCTCCTGTAAAGTTTATAATAATAATAATAATAAATAAATAAACGCCTGGTACTAGCATCTTTGCATAAATATGCATATTTTACTCGATATACACATGTAGGTACCCTACATCTTACAATATCCCAAATGGTTAAACTCTTTAAACTGGTTTCGAGTGTGAAATCCAGTTTTGGCATTTTTAATTTATTTTACGCAATTTTTGTCCTGCAACGAAAAATAAACACCCAGGCTTTTATTTGAACATTTACAGCACTCTCATATATAAAGGCTATAATACAATGTACACTGTAATGCATACATACCTGCTACAGTAGGCTTGATTCCAGGCACAGTAATACAACTACCCTGAATGTGCTCATTACCACACTTAACCAATCTACCACTGCATAGACTCAATGTAATGTGAGCACCTCTTGGACTCGGTAACGTCACAACATAATGTAGCGAGGAGGGGGAGGATATCAGCTCTGTTAGTGAGTATAGGAGTTGGTGAGGATTCTCTGCTGGTGACCATGAGCATTGTGAAACTGTTCGACACTAAAACCATACAAAATGCAGTTTACATTCATACATGCATGCAATACATGTATAGTTTTAAGTGTCAGTGTATAAGTGTGTTTATGGACGAACAACAAACTCACATCATCAGTGGAGCAATATCCAGCACTATCATCTGGCGAGACACCCCCACTCGTGGTCTCCCTCTCACCTCCAATTGAAGGGATTTCCTGGTCTGATCTATTAGCAATAGTACTCCCTAATGCAAGTGATAGGATAAGAGTCCTGATAACTCCTAGCAGCCCATCCATCATGAAAAAGTCGAGGAAAAAGTACTCGAAAAAGTATCACAAAAACAGTTAAAATGGGCGTGTTTGTCATTAGGCCAGTTATTAAGTGTTTAGTACTTTACCCACGTGGATACACGTGCAGAGAAGTATTTAACCCACACGCCTACCAACTAGTATAAACACAAATTGTTCCGTAACTGGGATACTAAACAAAATAATGATTTATAATCACAATGTATTGTGGTTCAAGTCTTTATCTCCAAAGTGTAGTGAAAGTTAAAATTAAAAATCAAAACTGCCTTTAACTTGACTATGATTCCCTTGGACTCCATCTCTACAAACAGAGAGAGAAAGAAATATAAAGGACAGAGTTTATGTCTTTATGAGAGAAAAATTAATGTAATATAAGATGAATACAAAGATAATACAACATAAGCAACTTCACACACATGAATTGCAATTCAATATGTACATGTATAGATTGACTTTCACAAATCACAATGATTACACAATTTAGATTATCATTATCACACTCAACCTACTTTACAATTAGAGTCCTCTCTCCATCTTCGCCCTGAAGTGAGAAGCCATGACAGTGCATTAGAGGTTTACGTCTTGAATTACCACCAACACTGGTGGCACGTTTATCGCTTCGATCTGAAACATTGTAATCAGACGACAACTATAATAATAATAATAATAATAATAATAATAATAATAATGCATGTAATGTTGTGTAAAAAATTTGAGCTCATTGCAATCAAAATTAGATTTTTCATAAATTTTTTAATTTATTTGTTTCAAAAATTGACCCTTTAAAGACACATATTTGTATGAACTATGGGCACATGAGCACAAGGCATACTACATAATGCAATAACTATGGCTTGCTTTCCTTCCATACAAATTAAATTAAGCATGAAATACGTGCACATTCTCTAAGGGTTAATGTAGGAAACCTTGTCATGGATAGTAAACAAAATATTCCCATACAAAAATGTCGTGCACTGTACATTAATAAAGCTAATTAGCTTAAATTGAACTCTAAGCACTGCACACACACACACAACTTCTTTACTCTCTACATAGTAAAGTTAACCTTCTTCTTAAGAGGCTTCACTTCTCCACTTCTTACTCTGTTAAGAAAACAAATAATATAAATAAAATAAATAATACGTAAACTTAGACATAATATGAAATACGTGTACATGTACTGCATAACTCTCTCTCTCTCCCACTTCTCCCTCTTACATTACTTCCACCTTCCCTTCGCCCTCTCTCTTTCTCTTTCCCTCTACCCTCTCTCTTTCCCTTTCCCTCTTTCTCTGTTTCCCTCCACCCTCTCTCTCTCTCTCCCTCCCCTCCAGTACCTTCCTCTCTCACACATTTCCCCTTCAATAACTCACTGATGAGCTAACTGATACAATCCAATCAATTCCAATGCACTAACTAGTTCAGACACAGTGCCCCCTCCTCCTCCCTCCTCTTTCTTTTCCTTTCCAAGCCACACTCGCAGTACATACAAAGCTCTAGTGTCAGGTAGTTTGTATTCATTTAAAGCATCCTCCAATACAGAGGCAGGCAGGCCAAGCTGAGTCGCAAGGAGAGGCAGTTTAGATGCTGTAATGTGTTCTGAGAGTAATGTCAATGTTTGCTCTGTGACATACTCATCATTTCTCAGTGAATCTTCACGATCACTGGATACTATAAAAAAATTAATATGTCAAGTGATTAACTCGATCAATTACATGTATTGTACAGTGTACATGCATGAGATGCTAAAAAATGAGGAATTTATACTTTCTCGTTACGTTTTATTTTTTCTTGTTGCTAACAAAGACTCAAAAAGCTAAAACTGACTCAAAATTTCTCCACAAGGACTGTAAAGAGTCTTATCACAATTTTGGCATGGGTATTTTCAGACTCAAAAATTTGCCTCTCCCTGCTACATACACGTATATAACTTGATATATACTAATCAAAAGATTACTTTAACCAGTCACATGAAAGAAGAGAAGAATGACAGGGAGGGACAATAGGAAAGGAAAGTTACAATGTAATACCAAAGTAGCCACTGGTATAAGTGACTTATCTCTCCTCTAAAGTTGTAATAGCAGTATCTACAGGACTGGTATGACTCCCTTTGAAGTCCTTTGAAGTCCCTTTGATACACACATACACAACAGTTCATTGACTTACATGTACAATAATGATCACTGGAGACTGATTTAGTCAATAAGTGTCTTGATGCTCTTGGTGGCGGACTGAGAGTATGTGATTGATCATCTTTATCAACACTTAATCGATCTGAAGGGGACGGGGTCAACTTATTACGGAAGAGTGAGGGTGAGGATGGTGCTGAGTGTGACGATGGTGGTAAATGTTGAGAAAATGATAGTGAATGAACTGAAAGCAATCTTGGGCTCTTTGATCCTGGTTTCTTTGATACTAAGAAGAGAAAGAGAAAAGCATAAAGTTGTAAAACATCACAATTAACACATTTATACATACATGTACATAACTCTCATTCATAGGTGGCTACAGAATTTACCGTAAGTGTAGAAATTTTCGAGGTAATAAATTTTCGCGGTTTTGTGCTAGTTGCTTTATTTTATAAATTTCGCGTGGATAAAATTTCGCGGATAATCATAAAGAAGGGGTGGTCAGTAAGGTCATGTGATGTAATAATTATTGCATGTGGACTATCCTCATTTTCTACTTTACTTCTCTGGATCTTTAGCAACACCAGCTGCTTGTGACTTCTCCTCAGGTTTGTCTTCTTTACTATCTTGTCCTTATTTTTGTCCACACGCCTGAAGAACTTGTACAGTGCCATTGTTATTAACAACTATAATTGGACGTGTGGGCGTTCTGTTCATAAAGGGTTAAAAAATTAATTTTCGCGGTTAGCTAGTACCCGCGAAAACAGCGAAAATTAATACACCTCGAAAATTTCTACACTTACGGTATTTAGTACATGTAGTGAGCCATAAACAGAAAGTCAACTAAGAGATGTATAATCGCAAATGAAAGTTTAATTCATGTCCTAATTTGCTTCTAGCATTGAAAATTTTTCATTCCATACCTGACCTTTCTTTTACGTACATTGTATTACCATATAGCACTTTATTTTTGAGGAGCAAAACTTTTGCAAATCTCAGGAATTAGCATGCAACCAAAAAATTAAAGCTCCATTAAATACTCAAATCAAATTAAAGCTCCATTAAATATTCAATTGTCATTAAGGGTGTGCTATAACATCACAAATTCGCAATAGTTTTTCCCACTACAATTGATTTATATACCGATCCGCAAAAGTTTAGCTCCACAAAATTAAAAGCGCTATATGGTATTTTATTTATTAAAAGTACATGTGTTATATTAGAACACTGTATAATAACAAGAGTACATAATAATAATCCAGTAAAAAACTTGTATCCAACACTATAAAAACGTCTTACATGAAATGTGAGATGATTGATGAGGAAAAACTGATTTGTTGGTTTGAGGGGGGAGGAGGAGAGAAGGCGGAGATGAATCTATAGTACTATTTGATACAATGGTAGTCTCGGGTTGAGGGAGTGCAGTCGAGTGAGCAGGATGAGTGTATCCTTTGTCCAGCGACTGAGGATAATATAAGAATGTAATAAGTACATTAGTGATACTAGTCTTGTATAAAATATCATAGTAAAGGATACATGCATAAAATTAAGCAGTGTGATACATTGTGTGTATGTCAAGTTGTCCAGATGATTAGGATTGATCCGGCAGATCGAGGCTGTTCAAATGGGCTATGATATTTTTAATTCGCTACGCTACGTTATTTAATTACCCACCAGTTCTCGGTTAGTCCCTGATAGCCATCTCTCAATGTGCTCTCTCCCGGCAGCCATGGCTCTCTAACTTGCTACAAAGAAGTAGCCGTCCTATTCACCTTTCCTCCATGATCAAAGAGATGGAGTATGTTAATTGTTAATCGTAAATGGGCGTGGTTTAAAGGTGGTTAATTTATTTATTAATTAACTGAGTTAAAGCGTGGGCGTGCTCAAATTTGAGCAATTACTGTACTTTCTGCAGGGGTTATCGAAGCTAAAGAAGCTACAGCTACTTCTTAAGTAGCATAATAGATGCAGCAAAAGGAGAGGAATACACTGGCATGTGTATTTTTACAACAAAAGTTAGCATGTCAAAATTTAAAGCAAGAAAATGAGATCATGCATTGACATAAATCTAATAGCAAAGGACAAATGAAAAATTTTATGAATTCATTTTCAATATTCAGGTAAATTAGCCACATCAAAGTCAAACATGAGACTTTCTTTCCTTTTTATGAGATTGGCAGGTGATCCTAAAGGACTACCACAGAGCAGCTAACACTGACCATCAAGTAAAGGAATCATATGATATTCCCCCCATTACAGTGAGCACCAGAGCAGCAACAGCAATCAAAATGTTTGATAAAAATTTTGAGATTGTCTTCCTATTGTTAGTTTTATTTTATTGTTATTGTTAGTTTTCTCCTAAGGGCTTTTGCCAATCATTTATTTATTTATAATTTCCAGACATTGCATCATATGCTCCTCAGTCAGCCCACTCTATAGTATAAATCTACAAAGACTAGACACAAACTATTTATGAAACTAACAAATTAGCTTAATACTACTAACTATATAATAGTGTGCAATGGACTATATAGAACCTATAGCTTTTTATGTTAAACATAAAAGTCAAAAGAGGCACAAGGCACCAGGTAGTATGGCTACTCCTTTAGATGATAGCTCTCTGTCTGTATGAACTGGAATTAATGATGTACAACACGTTGAAGGAAAAAAGGAAAATCTCACACTGGACATGGAGAAAAGAGGAAGACCATTTACTATACTAGTGATGGGTTGAGTTGGTTCTGGTAAATCAGAGCTGATCAAGGCAATGTTCAAAGTAGGTACAAAGGTTAGACATAGAGCATCTATCAAATCAGAACGGGTACCACAGGTTTTTGAAGGAGAGCATGATGGTGTAAGGATAAGAGTTTATGATACCCCTGGGCTCTCAGATACTGGAAGCAAAGTGATCTTGATATCTTGTTGGATGTTGCTAAGCTGTGTAACCATTTTGACATAATCCTCATCTTTGCCAAGCTTGAAGGTGAAGCAGCTGATCATTGTATGTTCTCAAGATTAGCTTCCGTCTTGAATAAAGAAATGTGGAAGAGGACAGTTGTTGTATTGACATTTGCAGACGTGTTTACTCAGTTAGGGACTATAAAAGAGTCTACTGATATTAAGCTTGAAGAGAAGTCCAAGCAAGTGAGCTCAAAGGATTCATTCTCAATGCACTTTCCGATCACTCTATCAAGAACCTGCGAGATATTCCATTCTGTATAGCTGGAGAAAAAGATGAAGCAAAATTACCTACAGTAGATGACTGGTTGGGAGCACTGTGGGACATGTGTATTGATTGTTATAGTAATGAAACATATCCTTTCTTATCGTTTTATGCCAGGAACCGATATATTATTGAAATAGGGTATTTAGCTAGTTTTGCTGGTGCTGGAGCTGCTATTGGAGCTGCAGTTGGTTCTGCTATACCTGGACCTGGTACCGCAATAGGAGCCAGTGTTGGAGGTGCAATGGGAGTCATTGCAATAATAATAATAATAATAATGTTGGAATTGCGAACTTTTTTAAATTTTGATTGAACCAACTAATTGATTGACTTTGCAATCATTTGAATTATCTTTAGTGGTGATAATTAAATTTATTAGATTAGCAAGAGCGGGGGATGGTGTAGGAGCTATACTGCTACTGAGGGAGTGTCTGCATGTTTTTATGCATGGTTATACTGAGTGAGAGGCTTAAGAGAAAGAGTTATGATAGCTGAACTGATGTTTAGTAATGATTAATGCTGTGCCAGTGTATTGTAGATTATAATTCCTATTAAGTTTCATTGTTGATCCTTTATAATCCAGTCCCCCATTTGAGTGAGATGCCATTACACAAAATGATCTTAACACATTATCTCCATTAGGACTTAATTCTTTTTCATCAAAGTTTTTTCTCGTTGACGTGTCAACTTTAAATCATCAATGTATATGCATGTTCACCCTCTCCTCTTTTCAATCAACTTCAGTCTCACATTGACCTATTTCCATAAGCAACTTGTATCCTCCACAACTCACTTCTATTATGTTATTCTGATAGTGACTTTGATTTGAACAGCTATACACATACACACCATGGTATCTTGTCAAAAATGGCTAGGAGACAATTTTCTTACATTTCCTGATACAATATACATGTATGTTGGGTAGAAAGCTTGAGCTGATTCTTAGACCACATTTACACGACTACACTTTTAACAAAAATGAAAATATTTTTGGTTGGGTTTAGACACTAATATCAAATCCTAACTGCTGGATTAGTGCAACTGCTGGATTAGCGTAAACACCTGAAACAGGAATGGAGAAAACGATGGAGTCATGTAAACATGACCTTATTTTTTTAATTATTTCTTAATAACAGTACAGTACAAAGTATCATTAAAAACATAAACATATAATTATTTGTATAGTAAAAAATTAATGTCAATAACTTTTAAAGTATTAGTTCATATTTTGGTTCAATTCATTACCTTACTAAATAATAACATTAACAAACAACAGCAATAGTAATTAATAATAATTATTATAAATTAAAAATAATCAATACTACAGATAATAATAATGCTAGTCCTGAGTTAACTTAATAATAATATTATTGATAATATGAATTACAATACAAATAAGTGGCCTAAGAGACAAAACACTAGAGATCGAAGAGGGAGACAGCCAAAAAATGGAGAAACAAAAAGAAGGAAACAAAAAAGCAAGAATAAATTATTACAATAATCACAATAATAATTAACAAATAGCAAAAATGATAATGAATACAATAAACAACAAATATTATAACAATTGAAACACAATTAGTAATAAATAAACAAACAAAATGAAATAAAATAAAAATTAAATAAAATAATTAAAGGAAATATGAATCAGAAGCAGGAATACGCGATCACACCATTCACGCATTACCCCTTTGAATGGAGACAGACAACCATTGAAACAAGAACTCAGTAGTTCTAAGATCTCCAGAATAATTAGAGATTCTGCGACCGAGGTCTTTTAAAAAAGAAACAGTTCTAGGACCAAAAGAGCCAAGTGACTCAATAGCTACTGGAACAAAACAAACATTAGGTGAAAGAGATGAGTACTTGGCAATTTTCTTTGACTCCGCAAGTGCTCCAACAGCCTTAGGACCAGAAGTCACAATATTACAATATGAAGGAGCCAGAGAATCAGGAAGAGTAGCATCCCAGACCAGAATAATAATGACACACATTGACAAAAATAGTTATGATAGTAATTAATAAAGTGTTACTAATGATAAGTAATATCAATGCATGTAAACACATTCAATAAAAGTTAATGTTTAAAAGCTATGGCATGTAAAAAAATCTCATTTCAATAAAAAGTGGAGCAGAAACAAGTATGCAAACTACTAATGCTCATACATAATATACCGGTACAATGCAACAATAAATGATTTATAATAACAAAAATAAGAATAATAAACCAGAGGAAATCATCATAATGATGCATATTGTATAACAACTACCAATAAAAATAATAAAATAAATACTGAGCATTACTTTACTGTAAATAAAAAACATCATCAAAAATTAAAAAAATTGCCCTGCTGCGAAAATGAAAAAAATTCTTGAAGGTATCAAAGTTAATGAGAGAGAGATTTGATGCCATAGTCTTAATGTAATGAAGAAAGAAAATGATTGAATGTGTTTGTGTAGAAGTGAAGATGTAGCAGAGAATGAGTGTGATGTGGCGAATTGGTAATACAAACAAAAGAATTGAAATGATTGTAACAAAAACAAATGAAACAAACAAAAAATAACAAAAAGAATAAAGTACGACAATGACAATAACAAAAAAGCAATCTGTTTTATGTGGTATTATAGTTTAAGATTTAAGAAGATAAAAATGAAGGACGAGGTTTAGCAGCTATTGGCGATATTTGTCTTCTTTCTGCCTCTTTAATCATTTCTCTTACTAATTTTGTAAAGTAAAAGTGTCTCAGCATCAATTTAACTATAGACTCTCCTCCTTTGATTGACCGGGCTGCATCAATGTCTCCTTCAACTGGTTTCAACTGATACTTTTCCATTAAAATACGAACCATTTCCAAGTGACCGCTCAAACACGCAAAATACAAGAGACCTCTAGAGTCGCATGTTTCTAAATAACGATTGCAGTTTAGCTTATTCAAGTAATGTAATACCAGTCGCATGTTACCAGCTTGACAGGCAGCATGAAGGCCATTGAATCCATTACTGTCTTTGTCTTCAGGATGAATATTAAAAGATTTAATGAGATACACTGACATCTCATAATGTCTGCCAGCGTAATGAAGTGGAGAGCGACCAGCGTTATCCTTAGGAGTTGGATTATTCCTAACACGAGGTACAAGATACTGGTATATCTCTTTATCTCCTTGCTTTGCTATTATGTGTAGACATGTCACTCCATCTTTATCCTGTGACTCTGGATCAAGATTGTGTGATTCGACTAGGAATTCAATTAGATCCTTATTACCACTCTCAGCAGCTCCATGAAGCAATCCTTCCTCATTATTATTGACACTATAAACATTAGCTGGATACACTTCAGAGAGATACAGTGTCATCCTATAATGACCATTTTGACAAGCTAAATGAAGAGAAGAACAACCATCAATATCGACTGCTCCAAGGAGCTTCTCATAATTTTTAGTACCAGTAGTGGCTGATAAGAGAGATACGGCTGTATTAACGTGACCATTAGCTGCTGCTAAGTGTAATGGAGTCTGTCTCTTCTCATTAATTGAATAAATGTCAATATTAAGAGAATTGTAAGCTCCTGCTATAGTAGACACTATATCAGGATGACCCTGGCTGCATACTGCATGAAGTGCTGTGTTACCATTGCTATCTGGCATGTCTACCAATTCTACACGTGGTTTATTGTAGCTTGGACTATCCAATAGATATTCTACTATTTCCAAGTGACCCTCTTGAGCTGAGAGATAAAGTGGAGTACAACCAGAAGCATCAGTGATATCAGGATTACAGTAACGACCATCAACGAAAAACCTCAATATATCCAAAGACCCTCCCTTTGCTGATATGTGTATTACGTTAAACCCTTTATTGTCAAGTATAGAAATGTTACAGTTTTTACTGTTTAGGTAACGAATGATGGGAAATTTCTTAAAGAAGGCTGCAATAAGTAGTGGAGTACGCCCAAAAGAGTCAGTCATATCAAGAGATAATGGTGAATGGTCTATAATGTACTTGACTATACTCAATGATCCTTTTTCACAGGCTACATGAACTGGAGCCATTCCATTGTAATCTTTAATAGTGAGATCCAACTGATGCTCCTCCACTAGATGTTTGAGTATAGGAAGAGAATGGCTTTTACATGATAAATGAAGAAATGTTGATCCATTTGAAGTTTTAGCTGATACGTCACACTGAGGAAGACTAGTGAGGTAGAAAACTATAGCAACATGTCCTTCCTGACATGCTATGTGAAGGAGTGTAGATTGAGTATCATCAGTAGGATCAGTGGCATTAATATCAAAAGAATAATTGTTTAATAAATGCTTTAAACAATACATACTGTTATACTGTGCAGCCCAAAAAGGTAAAACATTATTCTTAAATGAGACTACATTGATATGATACTCTTGTCTGAGCCATTCTAGTATATAAACATGGCCATGCAGCACTGCAATATCTAGTGATGATTCTCTGCTGAATACTCTAGGATTAAGGTTGTATTGTTTTATTAATAATTTTAAAAGATCAAGATTACCAGAGGTACATGCTATAGTTACACAAGTGAAGCCATTCTTATCTTCAGTAGTGACATCACATTTCATTACATCAATCAAAAATGTCACTAGTTGTATTACACCACTAGCACAGGCATAATGAACTGGTAGAGCATCTTTATCATCAGTAGAATGTAATAGATTAGTATATTTTGGATAATTTTTGATAAAAAATTTAATAAATGAAAATTGACCATTCCATGTAGAAAAATGAAAAACATTACTGTTGTCTGTTCCACCTACTCTATCCAAATCACATCTACAATCTTTTACTAAATACTCTAAGACATCAATAGCACCAACTTCAGCTGCAATATGAACTGCTTGCAAACCATCAACATCTTTAACTTGAGGATCTAGTTTATATTCATTAACTAATAATTTTGTTAATGATAGTTTAGTACTACGTACTGCTTGAAGTAATGCAAATGATGTGAGAAGCAATTGATGATTATTAATGAGGTATTGGACTAGTTTCCTGTTACCACTCATAGCACTATGAGTCAATGCATTCCATTCATTTATATCTGCTATGTTAATGTCACTGTCTTGTACTTCGATGAGATATTGACTGAGATCAACATTACCATGACAACATGAATAATGAAGAGGTGTTCTACCCTCATTACAGGCTATATTAATATCAATGTGAGTAGTATTGATAATATATTCTACTGCATTAATACTACCTGACATACAAGCTAATGCTAATGGTACTACACCTTTGTAGTCTGGTTGACTGGCATTCAAGCTATACTGAGATACAGTATAACTGAGTAGAGTAGGTGAACCTGATAAAGCAGCATAATGTACTGCAGACTGACCTTCGTAATCTAATGAACTTGTATTAATACCATACTCCTCTAATACCTTCACTAATAATATACTACCGCTAGTACATGCTAGATGAACCAATGATTGACCAGTAGCAGTAAGAGAATTTATATTAAAATTATTAATAATGCTTGTCCTCTTGAGGAGTGTGGACAAAAGGCTCACTCTTTTATGCTGTTTAGTAACATTTATATTTATTGATATATATTTATGCCAGAAACTCTTGGCCAGCACATCAAATGTAGGAAATTGCCTAAGTAAAGCTATATCACAAGGTGCAGTGAGTTTATTATACACTTCTGTAATGCAGTATTTAACAACCAACCCACTGCATAAGTAATGAAGAGAAGAGCGACCACTATAATCAGCTTCTAGTAATACTTTAAACCCAAAAATATGAACCATTTTCATAATGAAACCTGATGAAGCATACTGGCATGCTATATGAAGTGGTGTTGCACCAAAACGATCTCTTTTTTGAAATAATTCACTTTTATAATTATCATAAAGATGCTCTAGAAGCTCTACACTATCACTCATAGCACAATAATGTATTATTCCACATCTGTTAAAATCTATGTCATCTTCCGAGAAAATACCAAACTGCTTAAGCTGATCAACTAATGCTACCTGTCCACTCTTACATGCTAATAATGATAAAGTTGATCCTTCTTTATTGACCTGAGATGCATTACACTTCTTTTTTATAAACATAATCACGAGGTTGACATGACCACCCAGTGCTGAGTAAAGCAATCCCGTGTTACCAGAGCTATCTGCTATGTCTGAATCAACGTGACATTCATTTATTAGATACTGCACAATATTGAGATGGCCTTTATATGAGGCCATGTGTAAACTAATAACGCCATCATCATCACCTTCTAAAGGATCGCAATGATAAACATCAATGAGGAGACAGAGAACATCAATGTGGCCACCATAAGAAGCAGCTAATGGTGGACTCCATCCATTTTTTCCTCTTTCTTCAAGGCCAGTCTTGTCAGTCAATCGTTGTACTTCATTTTTTAATCCTCTCCAACATGCTTCATTCAATGGAGTGCTGGTATTCTCATACCAGAGAGGATTATAAATATCTATATAATACATCATAAATAAATTTAATAATAATGATAGATCTAATTACCAATAGGAGAATCATGAAGCTTCTTCAATTCATTTTCTGGCAACTATAATCATAAAAGAAGATATTAATTATTTCTAGTTAATTATTAACATACCTGCTTCATTTCTTGTACATATTCATGACAAGTTATTTTTGTGATTCCGATCTCAGCCAATAAATGGCACTGTTGATTGGTTAATGGAAAAAGAACAGAATAAAAAAATCAGGAATGGAATAATTTAATTGCATGCAGCCGTTTTGAATCGTACAAAAATAGAAATTATATTCTGGAACTTCAAGTGCATTGGCAATTAGCTTGTGAAAGAAATATAAATCATTTAATGTGTAGTCATCTCTGGCAACCTTAGCAATCATTACTTTAGTGCCTGGAACATCAGAAAGACCAAACTCAATTGAGTCTGCAATTTGAACTGCTTGAGTATTGTTATTTTTAAAATAATCTTTTAATTTATCTCGATATGCAGACCACTTCCTCTGTAAATCTCTCCCATCAGTAATGAAAGTATTGACTAACTTGACAACAAGTTCAAAATTGAACCACGAGACGTATTTTCTTAATTTTTTGAACAGCTGATTCATCGTTTTAACATGGTCAAACTCGTCTTCAATTGACTCAATCATTTGGGTTTTACGAAAACATGGGCTGAGTAAAAGTGCAATATAATCTTGAATGAAATCGATAACTTCTAAGACATCAATGGAAAGAAATGACTCCTTAGTAAAACGCATATTATCAAGGTAAACTTCTTGTAGATCTCCAATCATTAGTTTTAGGTTTTCCGGTAAGTATTCAATTGATTTCTTCTTAATGTAAACGACTGAAGACTCAGATTGAGATGAAGTTGAAACTGGTAGCTCAACAGTTGGAGTAGCTTCTGAAATAATAAATAAAAATGTTTATTGATTATCATATCATAGTTACTGTAAGATCAAAGGCACTGCCGGGTGGTATATTACACATATACACCATAGATATTGATATCGGATCATATATATCATAATTATGACATCATCCTTTGATGTGGTCGGTTTATATTTTTAAATATAAACCTGTCATTCAGAAATGCTGCCAATATTATGAAATAATCTTATATACATGTCATAGTAGAACTGGTCTATATACAAAAAATATAGACCTTTGGTGGGTGTCCTTGGATGTAATATAGCCCCACCTCAGGTCTATAATTTTGTATAATACAGAGCTTTGCAGGTTGCTTGATCTGATTCCTGCTCATGTGACATGCATTACTAATATGGTGAGAGTCACGTGATTAACTAGCTTGCAGGATCACTACAAAGCACTGTAAACCTGTCTAGTACCAGTATGATATATAATACACATACACCCCGCCCTTGATGTACACCCCCGTAAAACCTATGGTGCCACATGGCTTTTTATTTTTGCTGAGCTGCTCAGAGCTGCCCGGCTTTCAGTTTGGGCCTTTATTCCTCTTTCTAGTGGCCAGTTTTCTCGCAAGTAGCAAAAGACACTCTAATGGCTACAACAGACTTCTCTTTTAGTCAAATTTACTCCATCGATTGTTGCTACCAATGGTTAAATGCTCAATGGTGGGCCTTGTGCAATTTGATCTTACAGTAAGTGTAGAATATATCATATATACCATACCTTCTTGGTCTCTATCAGTAATATGAGACCTTGAAGGTATGGTATGATGTATTGTACACCGGTATTTACCTTTTGAAGATGAAGTATGAACTGGTGATGTGGTAGCCTCTCCACTACTAGTAATAAGTTCTTTTGCTATTTCATCAGCTAGAGCTGGGTCAGCTCCTCCACTATTACTTTTAATGGAGTTACACAGCATTCTTAATGTGGGGACACCATGACTCTTATAGTCATAGTCCTTCTTTAACCAGCAATCAAATACTTTCTGTAGACAAGTCTTTGGTGGCTTGCCCCCTGCTTCAATCTCATATAACTTGTTGTAGCTGATTCCTAACAGAATACCAATAGAGTCCCAGCGTCCTGAAAGAACACCAGCTTTTTCCCATACCAGTCGAAAATCAGTAATATCTATTATTAATATTACTAATAAAACAATTACTATGAATATCTACTCACTAAGGTCTCTGTCAAAGGCTCGTTTCAACTCCTCTGGTTTGGTTGACATTTCCCTTAGTTTGGATGCCAGCCCAGGCTAGGCAGCCACAAAAAATACTCCTTGACTTCCGGTTTATTTTTCATGTTATTAAAAACACTGTACACACTGCAGTAGCAGTGCAGTAAGCTCCTGTTTAGATAGTGCATGATGCAGAGGCCAACTGAAGCAGTAGATGCAACCAATTCAGTACTTGTATTTGCTAGTAATATATCCAGCAATTATGATGACTGGAGCATCTTCTGTGAGTGTAGCATTACAAGAACAATATTTTTGTAGCTGAACAAGAGAGCTACTATAACAATAAACTATCTGTTTTATGTCTTTAACATACAATTAATATTAACAATATTTATTATTATCTGTCTTAAGCTGAATATATGACATTCTGTGATTTGTATAATTATAACATTATTTTGGTGTGCAACATAATCTATTACAGCATGCATGGAAGCACTCATAGCAACAAAAATGCTCAAATCAATATCAAATGCAATCTTGATCATCTCATAACTTGACCATGTTGACTGCATTATAAGCCTGATAATAATTTGCAGTATAATCATAATGACATGCATATTTCTTTTCTTGATCAATGATTGTACAAATAGTTCAGTTCTTTTCTTTCTCTCAGCAGCATAATGACTAATGAGTTCTTCTAGTACTGCTTCTGATAGTTCCCCTTCTCCTCCTTCTCTTTGTTGTATGGATTCTGTGGCTAGCATACAATTGTTGTCCATGATTGTTGCAACAGTTTTGTAAGGCTGTTGTATGGCTATATGGAAACCAGGCTTTAAAGAGGCCATGCTTAATAATATTATCAGCATCAAGTCTGCTATACAGTTGATACCATAGACATGTTGTTTACTCCGCAACTGCAGTGCATATACATGTACCAGAGTGTATGCATATACACACAGCTGACCCTTGTATAGCAGTCAGAAGCCAGGCTATCAGAATAATAAAGTCCTTCCTTACCACAGACTATGTTCCAAACCATTCAGCTTACTTGATTGACAAATTGAATTTTACTACATGCATGCTCCTTACAACCTCAACTCCATCCTTATACTAGTCCTATACTATTCCTATATACTTTGGCTATAAAAGTCTATGACATACTCCATGACATATACTACACGTGCAGCAATTAATAAACCTTTCTATTATCATAATTCTGTTGGTTTGTTTACTTTGTTAATATCAAAGAGAATAAATTACAAATGGAAAACTCCAGCCACAACATGTCTTGAAAACAGAGACAAAAATAAGAGCTCTACTAATAATAATAAATATATTAATTAATTAATAAATACTTCTCCTGATGTTCTAATGACAAGATCATGTGTTACATGTACCAGTATAAAGACATCTTTCCATTAACACTTCACTGATATCTCTATAATGTAAATGGAATAAGAAACAGTAAAAGTAAATGTAGTAAATACATGTACGCATAATGTACAGTCACTGCAGTGTGTCTATATCGAAAGCTATGATTAACAAGATGCTAGAATCAATGTTTCATAACAATTTTGAAGTCAAATGCCAGTTGCTCATAAATGTAGTACTATAGTGGATGCACATTGCAGATTATAATAAAAATCTACGTAACAAAGTGAGTACATACATACAGCATACATGTACATGTATAATACCTAAGGCCTCTCTGGTATTTTTAAAATGAATATTAAAAGATTTAAGGACATACACTGACATCTCATAATGTCTGCCAGCATAATGAAGTGGAGACCGACCAACTTCATTCTTAGGAGTTGGATTATTCCTAACACAAGGTACAAGATACTTTATATCTCCTTGCTTTGCTATTATGTGCAGACATGTCACTCCAGCTTATCCTGTGACTCTGGATCAAGACCATGTGATTCCACTAGGAATTCAATTAGATCCTTATTACCACTCTCAGCAGCTCCATGAAGCAATCCTTCCTCATTATTATTGACAATAAACATTAGCTGGATACACCTCAGAGAGATACAGTACCATCCTATAGTGACCATTCTGACAAGCTAAATGAAGAGAAGAACAACATCACCATTGACTGCTCCAAGGAGTTTCTCATGATTTCAAAGTACCATTCTGTTCTGATCAAATTTGGATATTTTACAAATTTTTACCCTGTATAGAACACGGCTTTTGGCCAAATTTTGCTAAAAATGAAAAGGAGAGAATTATCATTTTTTATTACATTTTCTGTTGCATATACATGTAGCTACTTATGCCGTGTACAAAGTTTGAGCTGACTTATAGGATTTATACTATCAAGATGACATACAGGGATGTACTCTTAATGCAGTTGATTCTTGATTTATGTCATGGGCAGTATGCTACCTATCTATCTATGTACACAAATGATACCAAGCATTTTTATGCCATATAGCTGGAAATGGAATTTAATTTTGCTGCTTGCTGCTCATCATAAAAGTGCACAATTTAATTCCACAAAGCATTATAAGTAATACTGTATCACCAGTTCACACCTACACCAGCAAAATTTAATTCTGCATGCATTAAAAATTGTTCTATTAGTACAATATTGCAAAATATGACTCTCTGGTCAAAGCACAAATAATCACATCATAATCATTAATTCTGGTCAAAGTATGTAGTCTACTCTTGATGACACTTTTAAGTCAATGTCTTGTTAACAGCACTGGTGGTTAAGCTGGGGGGTCAAATTTGAGCAATTACTGTTCTTTCTGCAAAGGTTATCAAAGCTATAAAAAAGTTACAACTTCTTAAACCACAATAGATATAGTAAAAAGAAGTGGAATACACTAGTATGTGTATTTTTACAACAAAAGTTAGCATGTCAAAATTTAAAGCAACAAAATGAGATGAGATGGACTATTATAGTTTGTGACTAGGCCCCGGTGTGAAATTATGCTAGCATAATTTTGAGAATAATAGGGAATTCATAGAATCAAGAATAATTCCAGAATAATAGCCAGTATTTATGAGA